TCCCTTTCTCTTTCTATGTCTCTCCGGGAAGCACATGCTCCCTATGGGGGAAAAATCTTGGGGGGAAAAAAGTTGGGTTATGTATTGATTGTGAGTGCAGACAGCTGCAAGTAACAGGAAAACTCTAACCACTGTCTGTGGCTTAACGAATCAGGGTTTGCTCTTTTCCACCCACATGTAAAATCTGGAGGTAGGTGGTCTGGTCTCGGTTCAGTGGATGGTATGGTCTTTGGGCTCTGTGTCATTAGTCTGGTGATTTGCCTAATGATGACGTCATTGCTCCTGCTCTCTTGTGATTGGAGAAGGAAAGGTGAGGACAAAGAGCAAAGTGTGAAGTCTTTTCCTTTATACCAGACACACTAGAAACACTGCTGGCAATCCTTCATTAATGCCTCATGGGTGGAGCTGGGCACCTGGCCTTCCCAGGCCAATCACTAGCCAAAGACAATGATGTGACCATGCCCTCTTCATATCAATTTGATGTCCTGGGACTGAGAGTAGGGGCTTGGCTACTGTCATGAATCCATTTGGGATCTGTTGGTAGGAGTGAAGAGGAACCGTCAGGCAACCTGTCTAATAGTGCCAACCTGAGATTGTAAGAAGCGGACATGATTGTATTAATAACAGGAACCAGCTATCTACTCAGTGATTTTTATTTTATGTAAAATTTGTATCATCGCTTAATGCAGTTCCCTTCTTTCTTTTATTTGTTTACTTATTTTTTGGGGAGGTTTTTGCTATAGGGCATGTGCACTTGCCAGAAAGAGAGAGACAGAAAACGAGAAATCACCCCCCATTGGGGATGGCCACGCCGCAATCCCTTCTCCTCCATTCTCCTCTCGGGATCTTGGGCACGCATACACACGTGCCCGGCGTGAGTTTAAGCCACCGGGTCCGGGACTCGAACCGCGGTCAACTACATGAGAGTCCAGCAACATAGCCATTACACCAACTGCTGGTCCCCCTGCAGTTTCTTTCTTCTATCATTTTCTATTATCCTGTAGTAAGAAGGTTACTAATATATAACATGATTTATATAAAAATTTAAGATGATTTGTTTGTCATCCATATTATAAAATGCATCAGAAATCATACACACACATACATAAACACACAGGCTTGTGTGTATGGTTTCTAATGCTTTTCACAATACAAAAGACAATTAACAACCTTCAATTATTTTTAATTTTATTTTCAATTTTTTAAACTTTATTTATTTTAATTTGGTCAGAGAGGGACAGAGTGAGAATGAAAAAGTGAGAAAGTAAGCTGCCAGATCTGAGTCTTGAACCACTGTCAGGCATGTGGGAGTCCAGCACCCTTAACTACCACACCACCTACGGGCCCTAGCAAATGACCTTCAACTTTAAAATGAAGCTTACACTTGAAGATACAGATGTTCTTAACTTTATAATAAAGGCCATAGCAAAGGAAGTAAACACTTCACCCTTATCCAGGGCTGCTTTCCTGAACGTTCTGTTTGTATCAGGCGTTGTGGGGAGGCTTGCAGCCACAGCAGATACCACTGCAAGTAAGAACGTGAATGTGATGTGAAAAAGATGGTGGCAACAGATAAAAATAATGAATCAAACGTAACCTAATGATAAGTTATTTTCTCTCACATTTAATTATATAAGGGAGATACTTGTTTTTTCTCCTTCTGATCAAAATAGCCTACTATTTATCATAGTGCCATTAACAGTTTAATTACTAGCGACTGAGGAGGGTGATTTGCAGGAACCTAAAATTATGGCTGATCTCTGAGAAGGGAAAAAAAAAGTAATTTAGTGCTCAGATAAGATAAATATGTCCTCATGTTGATTTCATGAATAAAGCAAATGTTTAATGGGGTAGGCGTTTGATATCTAAGAGTCACTGCAGTGAAATATGGTATTCTTAAATAACTTAATATGTTTGCATCTGGTTATAGCTCAGGTCAAGTCATATTCTTCAAATCCAGTTTACGTATGATCAAATCTCTATGTAACATCAGTGCGTAACATCAATATTAGTCATGTCCTTTAAGAACCAGGTAGTATATATAATTAAACTTCACTTTTGGATTCTAATTAAGTATAATTAGGGAGACCATATAATTTATCATCTGGACTAGGACACTTTTTTCAGCCTCAGTATTTACAGTCTTGGGCAGATAAACATGACTTTATTATAGGGTGATACAACTTTTAGCAAATTACCTCCATCCTCTCAACAAGTCCTAAATTTTGCTTCCTCAGTTTTTAGATTTTGCAGCAGTTAGCATGACAGTGGGATTATATTTTAGGTCCTTCATATTTCCTGACTTCTTTTGGGTGACATGTGTCCCTCTGACTCTTCCTCAAGGGGAGACAGAGATTCATTTCACTTTTGAGTTTGAGAGAAAAAATAAGTGTGTTTAGCTAAGCTTCTCTGGGCTTTCTCTTGCTGGTCTGCCTGCATACAGCAAGGAGGCATTCTGGAATGATCTCCACCATGTCCAGCAAGCCTTCTGGGCAAGCTCTGGTCATGTTGTGGGGACAGACGAGGATGCCCTTAACTGGGTGAGTTTGATTTTGGGGAGAACTAAGAAATAACAGGAAGCTCATCATAGCCACAACTTAAGCTCCTTCCTCTATTCCAGTGTATTTAGGGAATAATACGAATGGTCATGTCCCTTTAATTTCTGGCTCTACCTCTTAATCGGCTCCATCTGTCTTAATGACTACTTGTTTTCTACCTCGAGGTAGGTGACTGTGTTTCTGTTTGACCATAGGCTTAACTGTTAGGGCAGTGGCTTAAAAGTAGAAATAAACTGGGACATTTGTAGGGTAAGATGGGGCATGTGTGACGATGACATGGCGAGCTGGGCTAACAGGACACACAGTTGGTGGCCCAACACTAGGGTCGTAGATCCCTAATGATCACAGCACCCTGGCTTATCTAGAGAACAGTTTTTCCTCCCTCAGCCTCATCGCCTTTGCAGTTCTGTCCTGGATATTGTGTATTTCACTTGCCTTGTTTTGAGGATTCTTCCAAGGTTGAACATTTACTCCAGAAAATGCACTTCATTAACGTAATCTTCTGTTGAGAAAAAAAGTCCCATTTGTTTTTCTTCTTTCTCGTCTTATATGAGTTCTTCTCTTTTTTAGATCCACTATAAAGAAGAGTACAAAAAATCTAAGGACAAATGTACTTTTGTGACTGACACGCCTATGCTAAACCATGTAAAAAATATTGGTGCTTTTATTTCAGAGGTAAGGTATCGAGAACTTGCGAAATAGCTTGCATTTTTCTTTTTCTATTTATACAGATTAAAGTCTGTGCATTGAAGCCAAAGAATAATATTTTTGAAAACCTCTATGGAATGCTGACACTACCTATATTATTACCTAGTTCTATGCACTATCTTAATTAATCTATTTATTGTATATGATTGATACCATTTATATATATATCTGTATTTTGAGCCCAACCTTTTCTTACTTGTATAGAATTACTCTTGAAAAGGAGTATTTACTCAGTAGGTAGGAAGAACTGGAAAAATAGTTGATTTTGGAAGTTTCACTATTTTATTTCCTAATGGACTTATTACAGATACACTATTGAATATTGTTTTGAAAATAAGTGAAATTAGGAGCTGCTCTATAAAATGTGGTATCTTCCATAAATTTAAATGAATTAAAACTATGTTTGAGTTCGATAAAATTCACTGGAGCAGAGGTACCTATTGTGGAATCAGGGAGTGAGTCATACACGCGCTAGGTTCCGTTGCAGCTGAGAAGCCGGCTTATGTCGCATGGTAAAGCACCACGTTCCCGAGGGTTTCTGTGAG